GTGTGATGAAATATTTCTTGCCAAACAGACAGAACATCACATTTCCTTACTAATAGTACTAATTTATTCCCTATTCCTATTGGAAAGCGCTGACAACAGAAAAGGCTTCTGGAAAAAAAGATATCAGTTATGGGAGATGAACATCTCTATTATTTGTTCAAAAGCAAGTAATATAAAAAATACCCTTTTTTGCCTTCAACCAATTACATGGGAAAAAATAACATTTATATTTTATATATTTTTTGCAACTAGCAGTAGACAAGGAGAATGCTAAATTTCAGGTGAAGATAGACACAGGGGAGATTTGGGTTAGGTATAAGGAAGAAATTATCTACTGAGAGAGTGGTGAGGCACTGAAACAGGTTGCCCAAAGAAGTTGTGGATGCCCCAATCCTGACAGTATACAAGGCCAGGTTGGACGGGGCTTTGGGCAGCCTGGTCTAGTGTGAGGCGTGCCTGACAATGGTAGGGGAATTGGAACTAGATGATCTTAAGGTCCTTTCCAACCCTAACCATTCTATGAGTCTATATTACAAAGCCAGAAATATCCAGAGTTTCTCCACACAGTCTCTGCTGAATACCAGTGATGTTTGCTGCATGGATTCTGGTTTCTTTCTCTCCCTCTCTTTTTTTTTTTTTTTTTTGTAATCATTCAATTAAAGGAGCAATGTACTTTACAAAAATAGAAGAGTACTCATTCTAACTAGAAATAAGGGATTAATCAGAAACCTGGTTCAACACATCACAAATCTGCCAAAATCTTATTAATTCACTGACAGGTTGCTCTGCAAGGAACGCAAAATCATGTTTCAAAGAGATTATTGTTCTGAATATTTAAATATTCACAGTCCATTTTTAAAGCAGTTATGTCTTCAATAAAAGCAAAGTAACAAAAACACCTAGTTCCATGTACCTGACTATTTTGTTAAGGTATTCAAAGAGCCAGATAACATACTTGTGAAACTAAAACATAAACACGCTTATAAACTTACAGATTAAGTGATCAATTACTAGGTCAGTAATCACACGCATGAGCAACTGCTAAATGGATCGTACTCCCACATGAAAATACTGTTCAAGAAAGTAATTTTTAAAGGCTACTCTTAATACAGCAGGTTTTCACAAGGAGAATAATGCTTAAGTACTTTAATTTTATCTTTTAGAACCATGCAACTTGCCAAGGATTAAGTTCTTTTTCTTCAGCATAAAATGAAATGTATTTTACTGAATGCCTGAAGCCTTTCTATATTTATCTGTTATACAGAGGAGTTACTATTTAATAGTCAGTGGTATGCACCATTGCATACGTGAAAAAAAAAGTAGGTTCTGAGAAGGTGCACAGTCCATGAATTTGGATGAGAAAAAGCAGAATGTCCACAAAAAGTTACATTATTTTCAGAAGCAAATGTTTTTGAGAAATGTTTTAGAAATCTAGTCCTCCACATGACCAAACAAGCTCTTTCAGCACAGAAGACAGCCTTCCTGCTCTCAGTTCTACAGGAAAGCAAAAGCACATTTGTCCCAGGTATCACCTTTCCCATACACCAAATCACTGAAAAAATGCATCCTCCCAAAACAGGCATCTTTCCAGTAGCGTTTAAAAAGAAACTCTAAATGGGTTGCAGAAGGCCTTAATTTTGTGCTGTCCGTATACAAGTACTGCATGCCAGTAGATACAGATTCCACAAAAGTAAATACGGATAGTTCCTCAGATTTCAAGATTAATTAAAATCTTCTCCCCACCAAAACCAATTTCCTATTAAAAGATTTTATTTTTTTTTTACACAACTACACTTCCTTTTTCATCTGATTTCTTATTGTAATTCAGGGATTTTGCTGACATAATCAGAAGCCATAATCTGACTGCCTATATATCATCCAACCATAAAATAAATATGAATCTCTCCCTGGTGTCTTCTCTTTACCTCTTTCCTTTAGGTCTGCATGCTACTGGTTAGGTAAATGCATTCTTCAGTACATGGAGTTTTTTAAACAAGCGAAGGATATTTTGCTCAAAATATGAATTGTCAGTCACCATGAGATAGAGCTATATTTAAGAATGCTAGAATGGTATTTCTTTCCCTTCCCCCCTTCCTGTTTAATTGCATCACGTTTCCATGGGTGGCTTTTCCCAATCTAAAAGCCCCATTTTGCCTTACCCATACATTCCTGTTACTGCTCACACGTTAGCAAACAAGGGAATGTCAGACCAGACCACTAGTAAATTGAAAATAAATCTTTAAAAAAAGTATTTTTCACTGGAAACTTTGTATGCCTTTAAAGATCAGGCCTGATACTGGAGGACCTGGTAATACATGGCTTAGTAGGAGAATGACCATGATCAGCCAACTCCTTCCATGGTTATGCATTAAGCAAGAGGCTGAACTGAGTGACCACATGATTGGAGTCTGACTAATCCACTTCAGGATACAGGATAACACCAATAAAAACCTTTGGAGGTCTCCTTCCTGGACTTGAGCTCTGTGTGGCAATATGTCCAGCAAGAAATTACCAATTCAGTTGTTGTTTTGTCTAGCTAGGTCTTGAAAAACTTTCCCAGAAAGAGGTTCTATTGCCTTTATGCAACCTGCTCTCGTTCTGCACTATCCCACCCTCCAGAAGGAATTTTGTTCTCAACCCAAACAAACCAAGCTGCACTTTGTGCTCTTGTTATAATACTTAGCATACTAATGTGATTTTGGCTCCATCGACATTGTAATTGCTCCTCAAATACCTGTATGCAGCTACTAGATAACCCTTTTGGTTCACCTTCACCAATGTTTAAAAGTAGAAAAGCAACACAACCAACACTTCCAGAAACCTGAACTTAGACCCTTCAGAACCTTAAATGTGTATCAGTCCACTACAGACCCTGGGAACAAACAAGTTGTTTATAAAGACTTGGAAACTTTTACATTGAGCCTAGTAGCCTGAGACACCAGAAAAAAAAGGGGAAGTAAGCACCTCTCACAGTAAGGCTGAACAGTCTTGGAAGATATCCATGCCAGAGCCATTTGAAAACATGAAGACAAGCAGTAGCATAACTGGAGGCTTTAAGTGAACCATGACAGCAGGTGGTTGTACATACATGACAGCTGAGCTGATCAGACACAGAATAAATTACTTGAACAATTTTCTCCAGCCACCAAGGTTTTATCTATCTCCATTTGTGAGCTTACTCTCTCTGTAATGGAGAAACTTTTGCTGATTTCCACTACCTTACAAAGCCTCTCCTGAGATCTTCTTCAAAGATATGTCTCATCACTGCTGCTGGAGTAAGGTTGTACCTAACAGAAACTGTAAAGCCTTCAGGCAGTCTTTTCCACTGGAGTCCCTGGTAATTTTCCTAAAGTAAAAAGGGATAAATAAATAATTGTGATAAACAGACAACATTAAACATTGTAGAAAAGTTGTCTGAGGAGCATAAAGGCACACAGCTTAAACTAGTGGTCGTAGCAGATGTATCTAAAGCAGAGCTGTAACTTTTTTTTTGTGAAGGAGAGAACACTTCTGCCAAGGTATAAACAAAAGACTCAGCACATGTTTTTATGTTGGCACATACTTCAGGGTATTGTGCCACAAAGTGTGGCAGAATGAGTTACTGCAATATAATTAACAGTCTATAAACTCAGTGCCAAATGATCATTTTTGCTGAAAACACTTTTTAATTACAGATATAAATTCCAAGTCTAAGCTGACTTTATGTAACTCAAATTAATACAGGATCAACTGTATGGCATGTACAAACAAGTTCAGGAAAAGGAATTTTATTTTTTAAGTTTTATTTGGCAGTGGTTTGCTTTTTCATGAGAAGGTTATTTACATGGCAAAGAATGGTTTGTAGATAAATTTAGAAACACCCAAAAAAACTGGAATCTGCATAGCATAGACGCCAATATTTGCTCTTATGGGAAATATTGCCACTCCTAGTTGGAGGGAAGTGATCCCTCAGCCATCTCTTCCATGGTAGGAAAGTTTCTGAAGGAGTTAGGAATAAATAAAGGTTAGCTGGCAATTAGATCTATTTGTTTTCATCCTCTCCATCTCCGAAAACACAGGACCAAGGCATTCTCACATTAATGCAGAACCCCCATATGAGCATCAAGTAAGTGCCTCTAAAACGTCAAACCAAGGCAAAAGGTGAAAACATTTTTTCCCCTGCTGCTGTTCTGTGGGATGCCATAGTGAAGATTAAGACTGGAGTAAAATAAAGCAAGCATTTTCTGTTTGAACCAAATAATCCTCTACCAGTTAATGTAATCTTCTAAAATATTGGTCTTTTAAACTATGCCAGAAAGAAAGGCTGGTGTCAAGAACTCAGCAGCATTCTCTGTGTAGGGTACAATGTTTTCAGAATTGATTTTTACTGAAAACAAACACACCAGCATTTCAAACTGGCTTCTTAGAGTTCTGGCTATTAAACTGAGAATTTTAGTATGATCGGAAACCCATCACCCTTGTGTGTCAACAAAAATCTGCTTAGCACAGAAATAGGCCTTTAACAGTCTGGAAATATTTCATATAAACAGTATGACTGAAGATCAATTCAGAACCTACTGGGAAAATAAATATTATTTTAACAGTGTAATCAAATTCTTCAGTTGGATATAACAGTTGTCAGAAGCTAATAATGTGAATTTGTATTGCTCTCACACTCTAGCATCACAACTGTTCTGTTTAAGAACATAAATAATACAAAACCTGGAAAATTCTGTTATACTGTTAAGATTTGTTATACTCATCAGGGGTTTCATAAAAACCATAACTTAGGTTAAATATAAATACTCATATTTATTGACATCTCCCTAAGCCTAAAGAGTAAAAGGTGTCAGAGATCTCCCCGCTATTTCCATAGCAAGCTAACAGACACAACAGGACAAAACCCAAATTAATTTGATGGCGCCATGATTGTCCTCTGTCACTGAGAACAAATGTCAATGAACAGCTCAGGTCCAGCCTGCTGATCTATTTTAATCCCCCAAAAGAGTAAGAAAACATACCTTTTGCCTACTGGAAGCATTACCCATCCCAGTGAACTCCCATGCATAGAACAACAGATGGAGAAAGACACACGGCCTATGCAAAGACCAAGCCTGAGGCTTCTCCAGCAGCTTGAAAGAGAAGAAAGGTGACACATCTGTCCAGGAGCAGCTCATGGCCAGCTCGCCTTCGTGCAGCAGATGTCATCAATGGAGCTAGAGAGGTGACACGCTGGCAGAAACTGAATGGCATTCAAGCACTTTGATTGGCAGGGGTTTGCAACAACTTCCATTATTTATACAATTTTCCTTTACGACAGTAATAGCTTGTGTTCTCTTTGTCAATCCATTTGTCTTTTCTACCATGTCATAGAACTTACATGCAACTTCGGAGGAAGAAAATCTTAAAAATTAAGCTAATTTGGTTTTGCATGTGTTCTGAAAAAGGAAATCATACCTTGATCTTACTACAATAATAAAATAAAAGTGGTGAGAGATTATTTTGTTTCTTCTGCAGAAATTCATCACAAAATCTACGCAAGAAAGCTTTTAACAGAAAACAGTTAGAAATTTGAATTTGTAGCCTTTCCCCAGCATAAATTTTTCTGCTTTTATCCCCTTTTTCCACTTAAAAAACCCTTCAAAACTGCAATATTAATAACTGAAGATTTCTTAATTTCATTTATACCTTTTCCCCATTAAAAAGGTACATTGATCTCAAACCATAAGAAGTTATGAGAATTTAAATATTTGCTTACATTTACCAAACACGTCCTCAAAAGTGGCCTCAACACTTAAAATTACCCTGTATAGCAAATTCAGTAACCTTCAAGCATTGAAACTGAAGATAAAAGCAGAGGAATAAAGACAAATTCTAACGCACACATGTATATTCTGCCTCAAGTTCATCATGTTCATTTATAAAAATGTAGTGTTATGTAGCAGTTAAGAGGGACACAGGTATCAGTGTGTTCTGATATGAAACCACATGATACAAAAAACATTAACTGAAGATTTATAAATACCTTTTATCAAAATCTGGGAAACCAAGTCAGCCCTCTTTAATACATCTCTTCTTTTCGGCCTCTCCTGTCCTACTCCTGCTTTCTTTAGCTGAAAGCAGAAAAGCACTGGCACTGAGACCCGGCTGCCTTCTGAACTCTTAATGCAAGATCTCCATACCAATCATTCACCAGGGAAACACCTTCCCCCACAGAAGATAAGCTCAATGAAAATTAAATCATATACACTTCTTTATCTTTTTTCCACTTGAAAATATTAAAAGGTATTTTCCTTCCACAGTTACACTTTAACTGAATTAGACTTTGGCATTCGACAGACCCTGGGGAAAGATCAAAGCAGACACTGAGACTAGGGCTATGTCTTAACTAAAATAGAAATCCTCCCAAACTTTCCATTTCCCCATCACATGCAGAAACTCTTCCTTTGTTAAAGAAAGCTCTGAATGTTAACCTAAGCCTGCAGCCTATGAGCAAGTGCCATTCCCCCACAAAAAAACATAGCAAAAAGTTCTCATTTATTCCTAGGGTTCGACTTCAGTGACAGAAATACAACAAATCGTTGCATGAGCTTATCTTTTGTTCCTGCTTTGTTTCTTTTCCAGCTCTCCCACAGGATTGCCTTTCTTAAACCCTTGGCCCTCCCATCTTTGCCAAAATCTTCATGTGATTATTTACCTTTATAAATCACCAAAACATTTATATTTCCCCATTCCTTAAGGAATGCCACCCAAGTGTTAGGTTATCTCTATAGCAGTTAACTTCCAAGGGTCCTTCTCTGACCAGGAAACCAAAGGGCATACCGTGGCAACATCTGTTCCTCCAAAACCTTTCCTTCCCCTAAAAGAAAGAGGCACACCCAAACTGCCAAGTGTAGACAGCCCTTAGCCAGTGCCAACTCCTACACTTGGAACTGTCTGCAGTCTAAGCCCCAGAACTGTTTCATTCACTGTCACTGCACTATTGTATAACTAAGCAACAGTGCAAATACAGGACATTAGTAAAATATACCTCTGCATTTATGTCAGTCTTCATAACCTTACACATATACCCATGCATATGTCTCCAAACTGAAAATAAAGAAGTTAACATCTCCAAGAGAGCTACATAAAGACTCAAAATTTCAGAATTTTTACTACATACAACTTTCAGCACATTACAAATCTACTACTTTTTGGAAGGAAATTGCTCAGTGTTTTAATCTGCCTAGAACACAGCAGTCTAGAAAACATGACAGGTGTTAGAGGAACTTTACCTCTATTTCCAGGGCACTTCAAATTGTTTTCTTACTTTCATAAGCAAATTTGAGTACTAAAACATTTGAGATAAGCACTGAAATCTGATCTTCCAAAAAAATCACAATGTCTCTCCTCAGAAATGATCAAGGGTTTCCTAAACGGATCTTACAACATCTGATGTCATAGTATGCTTGAGCCAAGAGAAGATTTTATGAATATGTTTACATATGCTGAGCTCACTCTGGATCTAGTTCAGTGGTTGCCTCAAGTTCCTCACAGTTATTAAGACACAAATTCGATAATGCCAAGTATCAAAACGTAGATTCAGCGTGTGCTAGATAAAACACCTGACAGCATCAGGAATTAAATAAGATGTTCCAACATTACACAGCCTGTGATCAATACCAGTACTGTAAAGCAACAAGCTAAATCAGACAAATCTTCCTAAGAAGAAAGTAGAACTTAACTGACTTCAAAGAATACAATCCTTTCCTAAGAAACTGTCTCAAAAAGATGCTGTCATTCAACTAAAAAAAAATTGGGCTTCATTTAAGAAATTTTACTATCTATTTTTGGTCAGTTTAGCAATACATAAAAACCTAGCTCAGAAAATATGCAAGTGCATACAAAATTTTTCACCTCCAAAAATAGGCAGAAACAATGCTAATCCACTAAGAGTATCTCTTGTACTAAGTGAGATCCTCACACTATCTACACTACTCTGAAACTTAAGTAAATATTTGAGAAGATGCAAGAAAACTTGAGATAATACATATAGACCATTGCCTACTAAAAATGTGGCAATAGAGATCACTGGCTAAAGCTTCATTGACTTTATAAGAATTTATTGTTAACTGAGTCTATGATTTCCCATTATCTTTTAAAATATAAGGCCCAAACTGGTCTGGTCAGGGGCAACAATGAAAAGAATTAGCTGTGCAGAATTACAAGCAGTGGTATTAACTGAAATGAAGTGAAATTTGCCATGCAGATCCTGAGTTCCAAGCTTGTAGTAACAAGTAGTCTTTTCCACTAGCAACAGAAAATTAATGCGGAACTCCTCTTGCAATACTCAATTTTTAAAAATTCTCTTTGCTTACCAATAATTTGGGGTATCAAAATGAGAGAGTTCGCAATATATATGTCAGGCACTTAACTAATGAAATAACTCTGTCAGAAAGCTGTAGTACTTTTGTCAGTGTCTGGCAAAATAGACTAAAACAGTTTAAAAAAACCCAAACAAAAACAAAGCAAAACAAACAAAAAACCAAACAAACCAATAAACTTAAAAAATAATGAAATCTCTGCATAAACACAACTTAATAAAATCTCTATAGAAATACGATTCGATCATATGCCACATGGACCCTTTAAGGGTTTTTTATTTTTATTGGCTTTAGTAAGCTGCAGCTCCAACAGATTTCTTCTACAGCTTTATGCATAATCTCTCTGGAAAAAATATGCTTCAGTTGGGTGTGCACAGGCCACAGACAGCCTTCACTGTAGTGGCCATGAGATGGTAGTTAATGGTCTTAAAAGGAGGGAAGAAAGCAAAAAGTAGGATGCTAACACAGGGCTTCAAGGCAAGAAGACTTTGACCTTTTCAGGGAGCAGCTTGGAAAGATCCAATTTGATACAGTCCTAGTAAGTGAACTCTAGGACAGTTGATTAATTTTCAAGGATTACCTTCTCCAAGCTCAAGAATGGTTGATCCTTAGAAGCAAGAAGTCAAAAAAGATGGCAAGATGCCCTCATGGATGAACAAGCTGCTCCTGACTGGACTGACTCAAGAAAAAGAAGTATCTCATAGGTGGAAGCATGGAGAGGTGATTCTGCTTCAACTTAATTATACCTAAGCTAGAAGCAGTAGTTTCTTTGGACCTGGAAGCATGATTTTTTTACTACAGTACCTGCAGTATTTTGAGGTGGAACACATACTGCTTATATTCACTATTACTAATTTATATAAAAATAATTAAATATTCATTTAAAATATTTTACTGGGACTTGCAATCTTAAAAAATCATGATACCAGAATTTAACTGTACAATTTGAAATCCCCCGTTAGACTGACCTTAAAAGATGTTTGAGTGTTATATCTGCAGGGAGAGTTTGTTCTTTTGCATATAGACATTTCTAAATACAAATCTGCTGGAGACAATAAGGACATAGATTTATCAACCAATGAAGTAAATTAATGTCTAGGGAGGAAATAAATGTCTAGTGATCAGGCATCACTACTATAGCTGTTTCTGAGGACAAGAACAAGCCCACAGCAAACCATTTACCAAACGATTCTTACAGATTTGGTTGGAATTCAAGAGAATATATGTTCTTAACCATGCAATCTAGTAACAGCAAGTATGTTTAAAGTGACAAAGATTTAGTGTGTTACAGAAGGTCGGTCATTTTAACAGACAAGGCTTTAGTATCAGACAGTGACAAGAGGCTGAAACAATCCGAGTCATATATGTGCTAAAAGTGATGACAAATTCTAAGAAAAATCTATGTCTTTCCCCACAGCATAGTCATTCCAACAAACAAACTGGGGCTGGGACATGGATAGAAATCACCCATACTAATTAAATATTAGCTTCCTCCTTGGCACAGTCTGGGCTACGCTAACTAGCGTTCCTCAGCCAAGTGCCCCAGCACAGGTCAGGAGACAGTGCTGACCAAAAACTGCATCTAATGAGTGCTACATGAGGAATGGAAAACAGAGCTTTTAGGCATGCTGTCACTCATCCTTGGGTAGCAGCCTCACAAAATTCTTCATCCCTTGCTCCCTGATTTTTTAGTTGGTACTTAGTCTCCCTTG